CTGCTGCCTTCAGGGGAGTTTGAGCAGTGTCCTTTTGCTGCAGGGAGGGGGGAGGAAGAGTAGTTAATGTAATTATGATCTCTGGCTGCTTCCAACTCAGAAAGCCACCTGTGACACCCCCGCCCCCAGGCTGGGATCAAAGGTGTGCACCATCACACCTAACTACTAGCAGTGTCTTAAATGGTCACAATTTGGATATGTGGGTGCTTTGGTGCCTGAAGAGTTGACGTCAGATACCCACTAAACCTGAAGCACAAAGAACAGACAAGGTACCTGATCCATAGAGAGACTCAGGATGAGAGCAAAGGGAATGAATAATATCCTGACTCTTGTTAGGTATTTTTCAGGAGACCTTTGTTTTGGCTTATTTTTTGGTGGTTTCAGACAAATGTTTTCCCAACAAGTTGGATGCCTCCCAGTAGAAATGTGACAGGAATCCAGAGGAATTGTTTGATTTGGAAAATGATTAATTTATTTATATATTTAAAATTTTTTTGATATAAGATCTCACCATATTATTGTGGCTGTCTTAGATCTCAGAGATCTGCCTGCCTCTCCCCAGTCTGGAATTAAAGGTGTGTGCTACTATGTCTGCTTTTTTAAAAGAAAACTTTGCTAACTTGTGATTCCTAAGCTTTTACAGTATGATTTGGTTGTGCTGTCATAGTAGAAATATTTGCCAGCAGGAAGAAAAAAATATCTGTCTTGTCATCTCCATCACTACTTTTTGAGAAAGACTACCTATCTAACCTTGACTGGCTTAGAACTTGTATATGTAGACTAGGCGGAGTTCGAAACAAAGAGCCACTTGCCTTTGCCTCCTGAGCACTGGGGTTCAAAGTGTGCTCCACCACACACCCCAACTACAGTTTACATTTTTGGTAGTGCAAATGTACATTGAGTTTTTGTTTGCTAGTATTAATGCTTGTTTAGAATTGTAAGGTAGTTTTAAAGTTAAGTGTTGGCATGCAGTGGTGGCAAACAGCTTTAGTTCTAGGACGCACAGCAGGCCGAGGCAGGTGGATGGATCTCTTGAGTTTGAAGTTAGCCTGCTCTACAAGATAGATTTCCTCCTGTACAGCTAGGATGAATTGTAGTGAAATCATATAACTAAAGGGGCTACACAGAAAAACTCCTGACTCAAACCCAAACAAATCAAAAGACATTTTTCTATTTCTTTGTTTTCTGTGAAAGGGTCACATGTGTCTCTGGTAGGCTACAAACCTATGTTTCAGTCTGTGCCCCAAATCTCTGATCCTCCTACCAAGTTGGGAGAGCTCTTAAACTTAATTTGTGATTTTTTTTTTTTTTTTTTGGTAACTCCTTCCTGCTTATACCTGACACTAGTCAGTACAATTAGTAATTATTTTCTTAATTTCACAGTTGACTTAGTGTAGAGTCCCTTGTGGCTGGTATTGTCTTATATATTGCACTTGTGAGTCTCTGTCTTCATTGAGAAGAGGGTGGCCCAGAGGTAGGAGTAAAGGCTGTGGACCATGCTGAAGAGAGGAGCTGGAGATTTGGGAAGAGTAATAGGTACTATTTATGCATAAATTCTTTGCTTATGTGGTGGGTGTAACAACATGGGTGAGGTAATGAAGAATTTGCTAAATACAGACATGCTGTGTGATAATGGGGAGGCTCAAGAGTTAAGTTTTGTTCATGTTCTATTTGAGACAACCTGCTCAGGATCCAAGTGGCTATTTTGCACAGTCATGTGCCTGTTTACTGGGGTTAGGCTTCCATTTGAGACTCAGGGTGTTCTCTAAGGAGAGATAGATGGTGAGAGGATAGCTATGAAGGCAGACCTGAGAAGACAGGAGAGAGATTTGTGTAGTATGGAGAACTCTCAAATACTCGTGGTACTGGGAGGCCTGAGTTCTGAGTTCCTGAGCTTACATTAGGTGATTTCAAATGATAAGTAGGACAGAAGTAGAAATGAGTGAGTGATTCAAACCTGTGGAGAAATTGCTAACTGGCATTGACCTTAAATCAGAATCCATTTCAATGGGTTTGTTTGTTTGTTTGTTTGGCAAGTTGGCAGGTCTAGCAAAGTGTCATAAGAGATTTCCAGACTGTTTTAGCTGAAGGTGTACTCTTCATTTAAGATGAACAGCTTTTGTTGGGCAGTGGTGGTGCACGCCTTTAATCCTAGGACTCAGGAGGTGGAGGCCGGTGGATCTCTGTGAGCGAGATGGAGGCCAGCCTACAAAAGCCACACAGAGAAACCATTTCTGTATACCCCAAACGCTGCTTCATATCCTTTGCAGCTACAACTCTGTAACACTTAATTGAAGTAGGGAGGAAGAGGTGTTGGTTTTCCTGCTGCTTTTGTTTACTGATTGTCCCTTTTGGTTTCTGATAGACAGACTGTTGTTCTATTGGGTTGTGTGGGAGCTGATTAGGTGTCTTGAGCCACTGAGTTTGGTGGGTTAGTGGTGGGGACTATCTGCACACATTTTGCTAGCAATCCTTATGTGCTGTGTCAATGTAACTTTGTGGTAGGAAGGAGGAAATCTTTTATAATGGGGCGCTCACTACTTTGTCTTTGTCCTGGGAATTGAACCTGGGCCTGCAAAAGCAACGTTTACTATTTGACTCCTGAGCCTTCACTCCAACCCCTAATATATGTACTTTTGAGTCTCACACTTGCTAGAATGGCTCTCTACTATTGGACACTTCTCTAGTCTTTATTCTGATATTATCTGATAGTTTTGTGTTTTTTTTTTTTTTTTGAGAGCATTTCTCTGAGCTGTCCTGGAACTAGCTCTTGTAGACTAGGCTGGCCTCGAGCTCAGAGATCCACCTGTCTCTGCCTCCCGAGTGCTGGGATTGAAGGCGTGCGCCACCACCGCCAGGCATTATATGTATAATTTTGAGGCAGTGTCTCATTGTTCAGCGAGGGCACACGCCTCTGAAGGGTAGGATAATGGGTGTTTGTCACCAGTGGTATTTATTTGTTTTAGTAGCTTCTGCTTTTCCATTCTGAATGTCAAAGCTGTTTTTCATGGTCTGAAGATTCTTGGAAATTTTTCTTGTTTTACTTTCCGAGGGTGATAGGCCCTTTGAGGAATTATATTACCTGTAGGGCTCTCAACAGTAGCTGCTGCTTTCCTCTCCCTAAAAACAGTAGTTAGAATTAGTTAAAATTAGTCTATACATGTTGAATAAGAATTGCATTGCATAAGGAGTATTTAATCCCAACACTTGGGAGGAGAGGCAGAGGCAGGTGGATCTCTGTGCTTGAGGCTAGCTAGCCTGTTCTACAAAGAATTCAAGGGTAGCTGGGGCTTACACAGAGAAATTCTGTCTGGAAAAACAAAACAAAACAAAACACACTTCTGGTGCTGGAGAAATGGCCTAGTGGTTAAGAGCACTGTTTGTTTTCCAGAACCCTGATTTATTTCCCAGCACCCACATGCTTTAGTTCCAGGATATCTGACACCCTCACACAGACATACATGCAAGTAGAACACATGAAAAATAAAAAGAAATCACTAAAAAATTAGAACAAGAATTGCACAAGGGAGTTGTGGTTGGCTTTCTCAATTCAGAAAGTAGAGGTATACACATGGGAAATTTGGGGATTGGCTCAGTTGGCACCCAAGTACTGGGATTAAAGGTGTGGCACTATGCCATGCTTTATTTTTGTGGGTGTGTGCTAACACCCATAGGCAAGAAGAGGACGATGGGTTGCCTGGAGCTGTCCTAGACACCAGGAAGAAACTCTGAAAGAAGTGGCTGGGCCCTGAGCTGTTATTTCTGGAGAGAGCGGTCACGTGACTTGCAGTGTTCGCAGTGAGGGAGAGCACATACTAGAGGTCGTTAGAAGTGCTGCTCTGGGGCTGGAGAGATGGCTCAGAGGTTAAGAGCATTGCCTGCTCTTCCAAAGGTCCTGAGTTCAATTCCCAGCAACCACATGGTGGCTCACAACCATCTGTAATGGGGTCTGGTGCCCTCTTCTGGCCTGCAGGCATACACACAGACAGAATATTGTATACATAATAAATAAATAAAATAAACATTTAAAAAAAAAGAAAAAAAAAGAAGTGCTGCTCTGTGGAGACCAGGCAGGCGGGGTCTGCAGGCCAGGAGAGCTGTGCTCAGTTCCTGGCTGTCAGATGAAGGCACAGTCTGTAGGATAGCATTAGGGCAGTGTTGTGTGTTGGTTTGGTAGTTGAGTACTGGACAGAATAGTTACACATGACTGGTCAAACATGTTCTTTTCTGGGTAACTGCATCCAAGGACTGCTGCCATTTCCATGAGAGAGGTCTGCGGAAGGGTGCTTCTCAATATAGGGATAGTGTGTTCTCCCTTCCAGTCTTAACTAATGCCTTGTACAGGAACTCATCAGAGGAGGGAATTAACCAAATCTCCTCAACTGTATTGTGATCTAGGAAAGCAGATGTAGCCAGTCCTTTGTTCAAGTGACACCTGATCTTAGCCTCAGAGCCTAGTAACCTTTTCATATCATAACTGAGGCTATTGGGTCATTTCCAAGCATTTTTTATATATAGATTTTTTGAGAATGACCGACACTTCTCCCCCTTTTCCCCCCAACAGAATAAACTTTCTCTATGTATCCCTGTCCTGGAATTTGCTCTGTAGACCAGGCTGGCATTGAACTGAGAGATCCTATTGCCTCTGCCTCCCAAGTACTGGGATTAAAGGTGTGTGCGCCCCCCCCCCCCCCCACAGGGTTTATCTGTTTAATAGCTCTCGTTGACCTGGAACTCACTTTGTAGACTAGACTGGTCTTGACCTCACAGGGATTCACCTGCCTCGACCACACAGGTAGGGGCTGCCACCGCCCAGCTGCAAATGATTCTTCTCAAACAGTTTCTGGACAAAGGTCCTACCTTACACATATGGGCTAGTGGGTGGCTGCCAGAAGTTCTTTCTTGGCCAGTAGGTGGTGGGAAGGAATCACTTCTTACCTGTTCTTTCACTCTCCACTGTGATTGGACAGTGTTATGAACCTCATTTTTTTTTTTTCCAGGATTTGTTCCAACAATCTGTTAAAACATGGTGGATTACTATGAAGTTCTGGGCGTGCAGAGACATGCCTCACCTGAGGACATTAAAAAGGCGTAAGTGTTCATTTCTGAAATGATAATTCTGTACCATGGTTTGTTATTGGGTAATGTAACTCGTGTCAGCCAACCTAAACCTTTTATTTTCCTTTTAAAAATTAGATTTATTTTTTGTGTGAACGGTTTTTATTTTTTAAAGAAGGTGGATGGTTCTTAGGTTGACCTCACGTGCATGTATACACATACATACATGGGTGAGAAAGAAAAACTTGGTAACTCAAGACTGTTAAAATAAGAACATTTGCATTTCCATGCTAGAGGCATGCTCCCACCCCCAGTTCCAACCCAGGCCTGTTGTTTCTGCTGAACTCTATCTGAAATTCTTCACTATGATGTTTCAAAAGGTTGGTTTGTTTCCAGTTGAGTCTCCGTGTTCTAGTTTATTTTTGTTTGTGATGAAACATCCTGAAATAAACAGTAGAAAGCAGTTTCTTTCAGGATATAATCTCATAGTCCATCACTGGGGAAGTGTCATGACAGGATCCACAGTTATGGATGGTTGTATAGATGGCTGTGTTCTTGGTGTGCTCAGCTTGAATTATCTGCAGTTTAGGGCTTCTGCCTATGAAATGATGCTGTTCCTAGTCTTCCCACATCAACTAATTTAATTAAAGCAGCACTCCATTGATGTGTGTGTGTGTTTTCTTTTTTTTTTTTGGTTTTGGTTTTTCGAGACAGGGTTTCTCTCTGGCTTTGGAACCTGTCCTGGGACTAGCTCTGTAGACCAGGCTGGTCTCGAACTCACAGAGATCCGCCTGCCTCTGCCTCCCGAGTGCTGGGATTAAAGGCGTGTGCCACCATCGCCTAGCTGATGTGTTTATCTAAGTTCTATTACCAGTGAAAACTCAGGAGTCTGATTGGAGCAAAACCTGATAGAACAAGAAAGCAGCAGAGGATCTACTAGCTGACCTGCTCTCCACACTTCCCAGATTGAAAAGTGTGAAAAATCCAAGTCCCCCCTCCCTTCTTTCCTGTGTATCTCTCTGTCTTCCTGGCTTCTCTATGGTTAATTCCACACGGCTAGTGGCCGACTCTGCCCCCCTGGTTCAAGATTTTTTATTAGAATAGTCTCCAGTGTGATCAGAAATTTTGCAATATTCCCCCCTTTTAAGAGGAAAGGTTTTTGGTTTTTCTTTTTCTTTTTTTTTTTGATTTTAGAGACAGGGTTTCTCTGTAGTTTTTGGAGCCTGTCCTGGAACTAGCTCTTGTAGACCAGGTTGGCCTCGAACTCACAAAGATTCTCCTGCCTCTGCCTCCCGAGTGCTGGGATTAAAGGCGTGCGCCACCACTGCCCGGCAAGAGGAAAGGTTTTTAACTCTAATGAAATAAAACTATATACAATAAGAACAGTTATCAAGTAAGAATTATATTAACAGTGTTCAGTCTATTTCTATTTTGCAAATTTGGAGAAAATGCTCTTATCTATTTCATCTTTTTGAATCCAATGTTTTATACCTAAGCCACTTTCCAACATGACTTGTATTATCAGCCCAAAATATCTTTTTAGATCTTTTTTTAAAAATATTTATTTATTATGTACACAATATTCTGTGTGTCTGCAGCCAGAAGAGGGTATCAGATCTCCTTTCAGATGGTTGTGAGCCACCATGTGGTTGCTGGGAATTGAACTCAGGACCTTTGGAAGAGCAGGCAGTGCTTTTAACTGCTGAGCCATTTCTGCAGCCCGCCATTCATTACTCTATAGGTTAGTTTAAATTGAATGACTTTGTTGTTTGAAGTATGACCTCTCCTAGTCAAATGTTTTTAGTGTAATCTTTATCAGTTTTGATGGGATCCATAGCTTTTCTCCTGTGGAAACAAAAGGAGAACCTCTTCCACAATGTATTACATCCTGGTTTCCATTCGGATGTTAACACATAGTTATAATATACAGACTGATTTAATTTGGCAGTTTTTTTCTACTAACCAGTGTCTCCTCAGCTGTCTTTTCTCATTAACACTAAAAAAAATTTATAGTTAGCAAAACATCATGTAATCTCTATCCTGGGGTCTTTAGTACTCATTTCTGTTTATTAAGCATATCTTGTAAGTACAGTCACATCTTTCTATAACTGCTTATTCTGTAGGATTGTGTAATATGCTTTATGTAATAATATCCAAAAATCTTTATTAGATACATTTGCTGGAGCATTATTAGTCTTAATTTGTACAGGTATTCCCATAATGGTCATAACTTCTAATAAATGTACAATTACAGAATCAGCTTTTTCAGAACGTAAAGCAGTAAGTTGCCTGCTGAAATCCTCAATATATACATATCTATGGTATGGTGCATACTTTAATTTTCCAAACTCTGCAAAATGAAACACAGTCATTTGCCCATTTACCAAATTTCTTATTTCTTTGGGTACCATTTGGGATACTTCTTGTAGTAACTTTGTTATAATTTCTTTTATAATTTCCTTAGCTTGTTGCCAAGTGATAGAAAAATCTTTCTTAAAACCTTTTTTTTTAAAATGAATTTCTGAAGTTTCTAGCATATTTCCTACCAATAGGTGGTCATTTTATCATTACTGTGCAAAAGTGTTATGGAGATCCATTATCAGATCTGTTATATGTTATATACAATGGATCTTTTTCTTTTTTTTTTTTTTTTTAGTTTATTTAACTTTATTTTATATGCATTGATGTGAAGGTGTGGGATTCCCTGGAACTGGAGTTACAGACAGTTGTGAGCTGCCATGTGGGTACTAGGAATTAAACCTGGGTCCTCTGGAAGAGCAGCTGGTGCTCTTAACCACTGAGCCATCTCACCTGCCTCCACAATGGATGATTTCTATTTTTGCTTACTTGTTGTAGTTGAGTAAATAACAAAGTTGATTATGCATCATCTAGAGTAAATTCAGTGGTTTCAACATATGAAACAACTCTTCATATTGAGAGTAACTCAGTTAAAAGAGACTCTGTAATTCTCACTTTTGAATGGAGTCTTAAGAACTTTGAGTCACTTGTTTTTCCTGCTTTAGAAAACCTACCTTTCAGCTAGGTGGTTGGTGGCACACGCCTTTAATCCCAGCACTTGGCAGATCTCTGTGAGTTGGAAGCCAGGCTAGTCTATGGGGTGAGTTCCAGGACAGTCTCCAAAGCTACGCAGAAAAACCCTGTCTCCCAAAACAAAACAACACAACAAAACAACAAAAAAAACACACACAAACCCATCTTTCCTGATTTATTTGCATCAGTATAGAATGTAGGGGCTCTGGAAGTTGTATTCCTTGAACAGTGTGAGGCAGGATCCAGTTCTTTTTATAAACTGAAGTCTCTTGCTTGTGGGATATTTGCTCCAAGCTGCTACCAAGGAGATGACCGCAAGCTCTTTTTTAAATGTTCATTTTCTGCCCATAATGAGGTGATTTCAGCATTAGTAAAAGGTACCACAATTTTTTTGGGGGTCTATTCCTGCTAATTGAGGAAGTCTCAATTTTTCTTTCAAAATCAATTCAGAAACATTTTCTACATAGGTCTTTATTTTACTCTGTGTGATTAAAAATATTCATTCTAAAATATCTTCTCTCTTAAAAATTCCTATAAAGAGAATGAATAGAAGGTAAAATGCAGTCAAGTTCTGGATCCAGGAGATACATGTGGGTCCTTTAATTTATCTTTTCCAGAGCCAGTTCTCCCCCTATTTAAGTCCTTATCACCTTGTAAGTTTGAAATAAATTGCTTCGTTCTTGAATTGTTAATCCAGTATGGTCCATAGCCAGCTAATATTCTCCAACAATTTTTGAAAAATCATGTGTTAACACTCTTTCCTTGGTTTAAGGGTATGTGTCCTTTTTTGTTTGTTTGTTTAATTCCTTCGAGACAGGGTTTCTCTGTAGCTTTGGAGCCTGTCCTGGAACTTGCTCTTGTAGACCAGATCCGCCTGCCTCTGCCCTCCCCCAAGTGCTGGGATTAAAGATGTGTACCATCACCGCCAGACTTTTTTTTTTTTTTTTTCCTCTCTCCTTGCCCTTTTTTTGAGACAGGGTCTCACTGTGTATAGCCCTGACTGGCCTGGGTCTCACTGTGTATAGCCCTGGCTGGCCTGGAACTCACTATGTAGATCAAATTGGTCTCAAGACGCAGAACAGACTCTTGTCCTTTGCCTCTCAGTGCTGGGGTTAAAAGTATTCACTACCACACCCAGATGCTTATGTTAGTAAAGTTTTATGGACTTCATGTGTGCTCATCATACACCCATTTCATCTTTCCAGGTATCGGAAACAGGCACTTAAATGGCATCCGGACAAAAATCCTGAAAATAAAGAAGAAGCAGAGCGGAAATTCAAACAAGTAGCTGAGGCATATGAGGTGTTATCGGATGGTAAGTAGCTCTGAGCTTGTGAAGGACAGGCCTTTCCAGAGATAGCAGAGCACAGACACAGGGTTTGTTTGCTCCCCTTTCCAAAGGTTTTAATTTCCCTGTGGCCTTGCATCTGGTACAGTTAACCACCAGTGTGGGGAGCTATAGGCTATGGGAAGATTTTCCTAGGGCTGGAGTTGAGAGGGAGAGGTTGGGTTTAAGAACTCTTGTGTCCACTCCTGATCATCTTGACCTTATCTATATTGTTTTACTGAAGGAGGACTTTATTAATGGGATTTTACTACTTGGATAATTTAAGCTTTGATTCCCTTCTTTATATCTAGAGCATAGGAATTAGGAGAAGGGTTGTGTTTGCAATTAGGTGAAGGATTGATTAGCTGTCAGGGGCAGCCATCAAGTTTGTGTTTATGTTAAAGGAAAAATTTTGTATCTACAGGGCTGGGGACAGAGACTGGAAAAGTACTGCCCACATCCTAAGCACTGTCCTGCTAGGTGGCCTGGCATGAGCCCAGGCAGAAACTTGACTTGAAAGGGTTAGGTACTGATTCACTAACCACAGGGAACAACAAATAGGTTACTAGCTTTAAAAATCTGTTTGTAGAAGGAACCTGAGGGAAAACTCACCACACCAGCTCACCGCATACAACCCCTTGCATTTTCTGTACCCTTCTTTCTCATTTTAAAAGGCAATCCAGCAAACTACTTCACAAGTATCTATTTTTTTTTACTTAATAAAGACACTGATAACTGAAATCCTACAAATTTGGTCTTAATACTATTGGGCCTTTAATTCTCTTGTGGCTAGAGCATGTGCCTCAGCTTGTGTCACTGTTTTTTATAAGGGCTCTTATTAAAAATGGGTGGTTCTTACTTTGTTTCTCCTGTTGTAGAATGAGACTTTTGGGGGAGGGCAGAAGGATGAATACAAGTGGCAGCTGTGCTTTTTCGGTCCTACTCTGGGAGTGCAAAGGAAGCAGGGTGTGTGTGGATACCAGCACAACACCTGTGAGCTACCAGTGCCTTGCACAGGCAGTCTCTTATGGAGTGTGCTTACTGCTTTCCACACTACTTAAAGTTCCCTGGAATTTGTAGGGAAATTTGTAGCGCTTAAAAATTTGCCAACTAGTGTTTCAGGAAAAAGTTAAGTAAGTCTCCTGCCTCTTTTCTATTAAACTCTGAACCTAGATTTAAAACTTGGGAGAAGTACTGACTGAATTTTGAGGGTTTGAAAGAACTTGTCCATAATAACTTTTTTTTCCCTCAAATTTAAAGCAAAAAAGCGGGACATCTATGACAAATACGGCAAAGAAGGATTAAATGGTGGAGGAGGAGGTATGTCAATAGATTTTCTCTTTGAAGATATAGGTCTTGACCAAGTTGTCCTTATTTGTTGAGTTCATGTGATTTGTACCTGATACTATCATCAATACAGGTTAGCCTAGAGAGTGGTAAATTTGGGTAGACGTAGAGAAATGCTTATAATCTTAGCACCGTGGGGGACTGAGGCAGGACAGTGCCTGTCAATTGAGAGCCTGCCTGGTGGGTCTCAGGTCATGGTGTGATTCTAGTCCTTGTGTTTTTGCCTCCTTAAAGGAAAAAAGAGAAGAAAAGAAAAACTGAACCAAAAGAGACTTAGATAGGAGCTTTGAAAGTTTAGGGCCAGCCTGCTTCTTTTACATAGTGAGACTTGTCCACACATTTGTCAAATTAGGATGTTTATGTTGAGGTATGTATTGTGATAGATAACCTTACTGTGTTTTCATCAGTGAACCTATTTAGGTTTAAGCAGCACACACTGCCTGTCTTAATGAAAATGGTGCTCAGTAAATGAGTTGCTTCATCATGGTCCTTAGAATTCTTGCTGTGGGGTGCTGGAGAGATGGCTCAGTGGTTAAGAGCACTGGCTGCTCTTCCAAAGATCCTGAGTTCAATTCTCAGCAACCACGTGGTGGCTCACTGCCATCTCTATGTAATAAGATCTGGTGCCCTTTTCTGGCCTGCAGGGATACATGCAGACAGAATACTGTATACACAATTGATAGATAAATCTTAAAAACAAAACAAAACAAACAACTTTGACCTAATATGCACAAATTGTACCTATGGAGAAATTGGTGGTGTAAATATATTATTTGCTTTGGCTTCATAAGCCTTTATGATTAGTGGACAATGATTTATTCACATGTTTTGGAGATGGAAGCAGTTCTGTGGACAGATTGGGAAAGCATTAGACCTGCGCACACAATGCAGTCAGTGCTAGGCAAGTGCAATTAGCATCAATAAGGCTGTGGTGTTTAGAATCCCAGATGTATGGAATACTTTCTCTTTTAGACCGTGAAGCATACAATGATTGAACAAATGTTGCTTAGAAATGCCAGAATTCAAAGGCTAAACACTTTACTGTGCTTGTATAGGTGGAAGTCATTTCGACAGTCCGTTTGAGTTTGGCTTCACATTCCGGAATCCAGATGATGTCTTCAGGGAATTTTTTGGTGGAAGGGACCCATTTTCATTTGACTTCTTTGGTAAGTAACTACTTCGGTCCATCCTTCTGTCTGGCTTGGTGAGATCTTGGGTGCCCTTTGCACTTAATACTGTGCCATGTTACTAACCTTTATTTTCACAGACCATTGGAATCCGTTATTTTCTGCCAATCTTTTCAGAGCCTTTGAATTTGTGACTTCAACAATAAAAGAGTTTAGTGTATTTTTCCCCTCTTCCATGTATATTGTTGTATTTTAGTTCATTTGTTTTTGCCTTCCAGTGAATTCATATTTGGGACAAGACAGGATGTTGGAAATCTGATCTTAAATGTTTCATCTTGTTTTAAAGAATTTTATTTCTTGCTTGTGGTGTTAAGGATTTGAACTCAGGACCTTGGATATACTGACGACTCTTAGTACTGAGCTACCACCACTCCACGAGCTAGCTAGTTTGTGTATCAATTTGTGAGTTTGTGAGATTCACTAAACATCATAGATGCTGTTAAGAACATACAGGTTCCATAAACACAGCCTTTTCTAACTTACTACAGTCCACTTTGGAGTTGTGAAGAGGGGTTGCCCCTAGAGCAAGACAGGAGGAATCAGGAGTGTTGATTGTGATGTTGTTAAAGGAGATGGTGTTAGGTGAGCAACTGTTGGATTGTGGGAAATAGATTCTCCCATCTTGTGCCTTGATGCCCGACCCTATGCCTTTTCCATATCTTTGTTGGTTGCCAGTTACTAGTGATGTTCTGTATTGTTGAGACCTATTTGAGTGTTTGACAGGGGAGGTCAGGGTTGGACGTGCGGTTGCGGCCTCTTGTCTGGGTGCACTGAGAGGGAAATACATCCTATGTGGCTGAAGAGACTCGAACATCACCAGCAACTCCACAAGAGGAAAAAAGACAATTTTGTCTACCAGTAATACCAGAGGGAGACAGGTGGGAGCCCTGCATGACTTGTAGTTGTGAAGAGGAACAAGTCACCCTGGATCTGGTAGGTTTTAGACTTTTCATGTTGTGATCCTGTAGTAGATCTCAGTGTGTGACTGCGTTCATTTGATTGGTTTTCTATCTTGCCTTCCCTTGGGAAAGAAAATAGTGAATGTGTCAGAGAGAGCATGCTCATTCCTAACTGAAATGAAATAGGAGTAAGATCTTAGGAGTAGGAGAAAGCTTGCTGCAAGTGAGGTTAGGGATGGAGTGGTTTGATAGAAGACCACACAGAAGGTTCCCTTCAAACAAATTAGTAAGTGTGACGCCAATAACACAAAGATTGTGGGGCATTTAAAATTACAGATTAAGGAATAGCCCACTAGTAGTACACAGTATGAATTTGGCTCAGCAGGTAGACATCTGTCACCAAACAGGACCTGAATTTGGTGCTTGAGTATTTGTACAGGAACACACTAATAAATAAATGTGTGTTTAAAAAGATGTAATGATTTAAAGTCTTTAATTCTAGCCTTTTATGTACATACTTCAGACAAAGCAATGAGTAATTTTTAATAGGATAGAAGTGAACATTATTGTATCCTATGTCACCTGAATGTTGAAGTGCAGATGTAACTCTAAGAAACTAAAACCAGCTAGATGTGATCATGCTCAGCTGCAGGACCAGCTCTTGAACAGCATACTGCGTTCCAAGGCAGCCAACCCTGCCTTGCAGTAGTCTGTCTCTAAAAGTAAAAACAACAATAAAAAGTTAGCCATTAGTAAATTCCACCTTGTTTTGTGGTGGGACAAAGTTGTGTTGGATAGTCTGTTCTGATGTCTTTGCTGAGTAGAACAGCTTGTCTTCTGCAGCTTGGCCATTCATAAGATGAAGGTGGCCTACTTTTCATTTTCTCAGGAGGTTAGGCATCCCCTTGATAAAGAAAAATTGAAGCCTGTTGTGTGGTGCACATTTTTATAATTCAGAACTTGGGAAACTGAGGCAGAAAATGAATTTGAGACCGTTCAAGGCTACATAGTGGGCTTTTGTTTGTTTTTGGAGTCAGGACTTCTCTGTGTTACTGCCTTGGAACTTGCCCTGTAGATCAGGCTGGCTTCCAACTCACTGAGATGATTCCCCCTGCCTCTTCCTCCCTGGTGCTGGTATTAAAGATAAACAACACCATGCCTGGCTACATAAAGTCTCGTAAACAACAACAAAAGACTAAAAACAACTCAAATCTCATCGGGGGCGGATGTTAGTGGTGATGCTTGCCTAGTATGTATGAAGCCTGTAAACTGTCACAGGAAAGAAGTTTTGTGTCTGTATGCCCACATGCTCATTCCTTTTTAGTCAATTACATGGTCGATGATTGTTTTCCTTGAGAAAAAGAATCTGACATTCCATCTAGCCTTTGGACAGCTCCTTTATTTTGTAGGTATATAGTAGAGCTTTTAATTAGATAAGCTTAGGTTTTTATCAGTAGTTCAAGAATGTATTAGGCTTGCTGAGGTCTGTTCTATCTCAGGTATCGGTCAGGTAGGCACTCCCTTCCTGCATTGCCTTGATGAGTGTGGCAGTGATACTTCTTCAATCCATTCTTGTAGGTCTTCTAGGGGACTTCCATTTTCAGGCAGTAAGGATTTTCGCACAGGAAAAGAAGCTGCTCCATGGCTACTACGTGTATGAGGTGACCGTGCAGCCTGCTGGTGGTATGTGGAGTGCAGACTGGGTCCTTCATGCAGGGCTGGGGACCTAGTACATGGCCAGCAGCATCCAGAGTCCTTGTAAACCCAGTCACAGTCTATTGATTGTAGCCAGTTAATTTTTCATACACCCAACTTCTATATTCCTTCTATATTTTGGGGGAGGGTTTTGGTTTTTCAGAGTAGTTCTAGATCTATTATAAATAGGCTGGATATAGTGAAATGTAGTCTGCTTGTTTTAGCTAATGGGAGACTGAGACAGAAGGTTCCTGAGTTTGAGGCTATTCAAAGTTTTATAGACCCAATCCCTATCCCTTTTCTCTGTCTCCCCAAAAGTCATTTTTAAGATTTTGTTTTAAAGCGTAGTCCTGGCTGTTCCTGTATTCCTGGTGAGCCTTCCATGTGCTGGGATTGATCACACAATGTCCTTATGTTCGGTTGTTAGGTACTGTTGAGCTAGCTACACTGTGCTCAAAATTTTCAGGTCTCTTACTCTGGTGATGCGGTCCTCAGATTTAGAGACTTAGAGCAGGAAGATGCTTTGAGATCCTGCAGGAGACGAAACACCTTTCTCTGTGATCAGCCGCTTTTTCAGGAAGGCCTGTATAGGCACTTCCCACAAGGAGCTCAGTAGTGGAGGGGGGTGTATGTGGAATGGCCAGACTATGGCCATTCCCAGACTCACCCACAAATGAGCCTTTCTTGAAATATTGATTGAAACAGGAAGTGTATTAATTTGAATTAGGATGATCTATTTCTTCATGTGTTTTACCAACCCAGAACAGCACTACTTGTGTCCTGGTTATGTAAACCTAGTAGTGTAAGACCGACAGTTACCCAGTAGTGGTCTTTTGATTCTTATTAGTTACGACAGGAAGTATTTCTTAGAGAACTGTGGGTTGCACGCCACATTTTATTTTCGTTCTCACTTTAGAACGTCCAAACTGCCTTTGTCGTTGTTGGCAGAGGATCTTTCCTCTCTCTCCCTTGACCACTTAGTGTGTTCTTTCTTCACAAAGTCTTGTGAACTCTGGGGAAGGAAGGAGTAGGCTACTGGAAAAGCCCATGGTGAGGAGAACCTTGGAAAGAACCCTTTTGGGGGAGGGCGATTGTGTGTGGAGGGTAATTTTCTGAGCCATAAATTTACTGTAGTGAGTCAGTCATTTTACTCCCCAGGATTCGAGGAAGTGGCCAGTGAGGACTTGGAGCCTAGTGAAGAACTAGACCAGCCCTGTTTTGAGGAGTCAGTAGAAGACGCCCTGAGTGACGAGCACAGTGAGGTTTTGGATGTGATATCCAGTGAGGAGCTGGACCTTAGTGAAGATGAGTCAAGTGAAGGCTGTAGCTGGGGCCAGGGCGGACTTCTCAGTGAGGACCTGGACCTCGTCTCCAGCGAGGAGGAAGCCAGTCTCGGGGATGCCGAGGAGCTCAGCGAGGAGTATGAGGAGCTGCTGAGCGAGGAGGAGCACAGTGGGCCGGAACCCGAGGCGCTGCTTGTTCAACAATAAACAAAAAGAAATGGCCTGGGTCTCTCTTTTATAAGAAGATTTATTTTATTTAAAATTTATCTAGAATAAAAAGAAATTGCTTCTATCACCACCATGTTGTATGTGGTCAGATTACCAGAGTTGACCTGGAGACCAGGGAGGGGAGGAGGCCCAGATACTCCAGGCCAACCCTCTTTATAGGATGACTGGGCTAGCAGCCCAGATTGCTGTAACAAAAGACTCAGTCTTAGTGGTTAAACAACAAACTTCTCAATGTGCAGGTCCAAGGTAAAGGTATGCCAGGGTCTCCTGTAGCTGAAGCAGATGTGACTCTGCACACCATCTCCCAGGCCAGTTTCTCCTGTGACCATGCTGATCTGATCCCTGGTCCATGAGTTCATTTGATCCTGGTTACTTCAGGGAGGTAGCTGCTAGTAAGAGCTCTGCAAGACTCTGAGTTGTTTAGGTTTAAATCCTAGCCTATAGTTTAGGAGCTTGTAATAAACTAAGAAGTTTATTACTAGACTGGGGATGTTCGAAAAGTTGGAAGTTAAAAAAAAATGTAATGCAGAGATGAGAGTGGAAGCAATACTGCACATGGTTTGTTGACTACATCTTCGGCATGATCACAGATGTCCTTAATTGCTTTAAAAAAAGTACAATTTCCTCGTGGGATTTGAGAGCAGAGGATAAGATTTTAAAGTCTATAGACCATTTAACTTCCAGCTAGTTATTAAACACAACATTATTGGCTTTTAGACTACAGCTTGCCTGTATCTTTCATTGGCTTCCTTGCTTGTTCTAAAGAAAAATGGGACTGTTGAGGTAGGTGTGAGGCCACATTAAATTAGAGATTGATAATAAACCATGAAGAAGGAGGATGGAGGCTGCTTTGGTGATGTTTGGAATGAACTAG